TGCTGCAAGGTTTAAGACTCGCTAAACAATCAAGTTAGTGCCATGGGTCTATAGGCATGAGTTTAGAGAAATAAAGAGCACCACACAAGAGATGAACATTACATTCAATTCGGTAAGGACTGCCAATGGGATGGCTGAACTTTAGCAAAACAAAGGGTTTATAGGCAACAGTTGTTTTGGGAGCCATTGTAACTTTTGTAAATGTGTGGGGGTTGGAATTGATTACTATGTATCACTTAATAAAATTGAGAAGGAATTCTTAAATTTCTTGCTGATCAAAAAAAAAAGTTGGTATCGAAGCAAGGTTTTCTTTTCTTCTCAACTTGAAGCCATATAGGAAATTGAGAAGGCTGATCAACAATTGATAAACTGTCTAGCCTTTGGTGTTTTTTATAAGAAACAAAGCATTTGGTGGATTATGGAAAACTTCTAGTGAAGCCTCTTTATTATTTATATTATTCCAAACTTTACAAGAAAGAATGGGATACCTATAGTCATGTATAATATACATATGTATATTCATCAATAAGATGCATGTATTACAATATTCATCAATGGCAAGATACAATAGAATTTGGACTATAACTCCTTCAAATCTATTTTCTTCTGCTTCTTTTTCTGCTGCCCTTGAAAAAGATCCAAACATTACTTTTGTTACCCTGTCAGTACCATTTGAAGAGGTTCTGTGCCACAAAAGATTAGAGCTTTTTGTTGGGAGGTCTTTCACAATAAGATTAATACCTGTGAAAATCTGCAACAAAGGAGACCCTAATGGTGCATATCTCCCCATGTGTGTCTCTTGTGTAAAATAGATGGTGAAAATAATTTTGCACCTGCTAATCTCCTGCAATTTTGTATCTGTCATATTGGATTTTTTCTCCTCTTTTTGGATGTAGGTAGACTCCTCCAAACAATCTAAGAAACTTGTTCAGCTCTTCATTTTCCTCCTCTCTCTTAAAAAGGCGGGGTAAGATTTTGTGGAGATGCACAAGGACTGCAGTATTGTGGTGTGTTTGGAAAGAAAGAAATGCAAGAATTTTCAAAGATAATGCAAGGGTATAGGGATTAGGGGTATAGAAGAAATTATTGAAAATATATCAACCATGGTGGCACATTGGACTGAATCAATGGAGGAATTCAGACCATTTACAACTAATGGCATCCCAAGGAATTGGAGAATGGCGGCCAATGTTTTAAAAGGCGTAGGTGTATACCTGGAAGAACGCCTCAAGGTGAGGCACCCCCAAAATGACTTGAGGTGCATGTCAAAGGTGTTGATACCTCTGAGGTACACGCCTCAAGTACATGAGCCATACACCTCAAACACCTTTTGCACAAGGCATGCTAGAAGCATTGATGCTCAGGAGGGTTATGCCTCTTACGTTCTAAACTATGCCTCACACCTCTAGGTAGTGGAATGCCTCACATCACACCTCCGCGTTTTAAAACATTGATGGTGGCTGAATCCTCAGCTACTAAAACTATCTCATCAACAATATGGATTTCACCACCTGCTAGATTCATAAATATTAACTTTGATAGATGTAGCCTTGGGAATCCACACCAATCAGGTGTGGGGGCAGTGTTTAACAGTGCAGGAAATATGGTAGTCTTTTTCTCTGAGATGACAGGAAATGGTGAATCAACTAGGGTAGAACTATAGGCTGTATTAGGAGTAAGACGGGCTAAGGCCATGAACTACACCGGCTAATAAGAAAGCATTGACACATCCCGTAGTTCATGGCTTGCATCATTTGGACTTTCAAGACACTGTTGTTGAGAGGCCACGAATTCCATCAATCCTCAATTCTGGCTAATAAGATATTTATCTGGAGATGGTCACCTTGTATGGTGAAACTCAAATAGACTCATACCTCCACTGCTCACTTCTCAAAAGTTCAATTCTATCACTTCCTCACCCTAAAAACCATAACAACAAAATAATTGTATCTTTGCATATATCTTTCCAGACACTCACCTCATAGGACATTGAAACCACCTGAAACCAATTGTTCCATACTTAAATTCAATCACCTTGTGCACAATAAAGATTGCTCCTGCCAGACCACCACAATCACCAGCCTAGAATTGTTTTGTCATCAACCTTCAGTTTTGAATCCTGCATATCAACATTCAATTCACCAAATGAAACTCCAGTTTCCCATTCTCCTCCCTTCTCCCTAGCCATAAAATAAATCTATACATTTAAATAATATGCTCTCCAAATTCTCTACTCTTTCTTAGCTATCACCACTGGGATTCTAAACAGTAACATGTAGTAGATTCAACATCATCATCTAAGATTTCTCCCAACTATATGGGGTTCAGCTACGTGAATCCTGTTTCGCCATTCCATTCTATTCAGTATCATATCCATTTATAAATTTTGGGTGCTTAAATCATTTCTTACTACTTCCACCCAATTCCTTTTCAGTCTGCCCCCTAGCTTTTCCAGTCCTTTCAACTTGTAACAGATTACTTCTACTAATAGGTGCTAGATGGTCTTCTATGCACGTGACCAAACTATCTCAGTCTACTCTCTCTCATTTTATCACCTATTGGAGCTCCTCATAGGTTACTTAGTATGACTTCATTTCTGACCATGTCCTTTCTAGTTTTACCACTTGATGGAGGATGATTTGGCCCGACCTACGAAACGGTGACACGTGGACCTGACTCAGCGCGAGTAACAACTCAACATCGTGGCCTATTACGACCAAGTAATGAGCCCATAAAGCAGCTCGTAAAGAAGGAGCTCGCCCCAACGCGAGCTCCGGGTTCCCCGAGCTACCCCGAAGGGGATATTCCGAGGCAATTTTAGCTCGCGAGCTAGGGAAACCAGCTCGCCCGGGCCCCCAAGCAGATAAGCCGTCCCAGGGACCAATTCTACTAAGGGTAACCCTGAGGTATTCCCAAGCTCGCTACAAAGTGGTTCGCAAGTGCACAACATGAGCGTTCCTCAGGAAGCTTCTATCTGACAGGCCGTACCGATCAGACTACGCCACATCCCTTAACTGACGGCGCAATCTCTATCCTTTCAACAGTCTGCGCCCACGTCTCTCAGCTGGCGGAGGCGCACCTGCCCCTTGGAAATGTGTCACTCACCCGGGTAAGGAGTACGTTGCAACGGCCACCTGCACAGCCCTGGCAGGTAACGGCTGTGGCAGGGGTCCAGTGGCGGTTACGCCCGATCTGACAAGAACACCCCTATAAAAGCCCTCAAGGCAGAGGGGAAAAGAGATCTTCAGACTTTGGAACACATCAATATTCTCACACTCTAAACTGCATACACCTCTGCTCGCGAGCTAATCTCTCGAGCACAGTGATAAAGCGCGACCTACACTCTTAGCTCTAGCACTCTTCTTTTCTCTTTCCCCTGTGTTCTGACTTAAGCATCGGAGTATTCCCACCGGGTAAGTCCCCGGGAATCCTTCTTTTCCGTCTTCTCAGGTGTCGTCTGTTGCCAACAAGGAGCCAGTCAGCAGACAGCTAGGAGTGCCCAGATCGCGCCGCATCACCACTCATCCATCTAAGCATTCACATTTCTGCCACTCATTTTTTGGGCATGCTGTTTCTCAACTCCGCTAGTGTGAGCTTGTTTTACACCACTAGTCCCAGACCTAGGTAAAAGAGGAGGGTTGCATCAGGTTGTTAGCCAACATTAAAACTTTTGCCTAGCTCTCATGGTCATGGATCCTAACTTCTCTTTTCAAGCAACAAATAGTAGAACGACAAAATGAAAATCATACTACCCCTCTACCCTCCTACAGAAATGAAGGTTATCTTCATTCCACACAATTACCCCCAGTTGGGTCCCCACTCTAGATGACAAACTTGTCACTCTAAGGCCCCATCATTTTCCAGAAAGCTATTTACCTAGGTAAGTGAACTTACCTGTGTTCTTTTGATTCCTGGGTAAATTATACAATTAACTCTTTTATCCATAAAAAGTCGTTGTTAGAATAGGCAAAATTGTCCCAACACATTTATCAACTTTCCCCCCAGGTGAGAAAGTTAACCACCTGGGAGATGGATATCACTTACCTGGATAAGTGATACCCAAGGAAAGTGATTTTTCCATGTGTCCCACATGAATTTGGGAAACAAATGTGGGAAAAGCAGTCAATAGGAACCACAATCCCATTAGCCAACTTTTCCCCCATTCAGAATCAGGGAAACGAATAGGGCCTAATAGAAACCCAAAGATGGTAGAGTATTAGTGGTGCATCATATCCTGCTAGCATATTTGTCCAAAATAAAAAGAAAATAAGACTATACTAGACAAGGTGCAAATAACCAGAAAAATATATATCAAATAACAGGTATACAAGAACGTAGAATAAAAGGAATTGCAAACCCCATATAAAGAAAGAAGTGCTGCTTAAAAACACTAGCCACTGTATATACTAACCTCCTAATACAAAAATGACAAAAGAAAAGAAATATAGAAAATCTATAAAATGATTAACTCATATATTACACCCAAAACAAAGCACATAATAAGATAGACCAGAAGATCATAACATGGAGTCAGAAGTGCAAAGAAAAAAAAAAACAAGAAGAGCTCAGGTTCAAGGACTAGGCAATTTATACACATACCAACCAAAAAGAATCACTTACGGTGATAATAATGAAACACTTCAGACTAAGATGAACTTGTCATATGATCACACTTTTCATTTGAAAACCAAGGTTCAAAATTTTGATACGATACACCCTGTATAAGGGATGTTTCGCATTTTGAGCACTTTCAGGGGGTAGCATGCCTAAAACTGACCCCCAGAAGCAATTTTGAAAAAAAAAATAAAAAATAAAGTTATTAAATATTGAAATACCCGATATGCCTGTGTACCAATACCATGAACCTTGTTGAAAACCATATAATAAGATCATTTATTGAACTAACACATATGTCCTGAATCTTGGCAGTTAAGAAACACGTTAGTAGCATGTATTATTGCATTGTTACACTTACTTCCAATGATTATAGCATGACAAACCTGGTATGATAGTGCCTTAATCCATGCAGTTCTATCTACACCAAGCCATGCTGTTGAGAACCATGACATTTTGGATAACGAGCCGTGCTCCTTAATTGCCAACTCAAAAACTCTGGCTGCATCATGTAAGGACTGAACCAAACCATTTTTAGTATCTTCAGCTTGCAATGATTGGTTAAGTTTGATCTTCATTTCCTCCACATCAGTGCTAGCACGTGGGATACCATTGACTGTTACCCCATCATCAGTTGATGCCAATGGAGACATATGTCCCATCCTTCGAGTTTTACAAATAATGATACCGTATTTTCTAAACTGCACCAAACTCATAATATAACTGTGCTTATCATGCTCTGTTAAGGCATGTCTAATACGAGATCTCTTCCTCAGACTACCCCATCCACGTATTCGATGGTTCAGATCATCCACTTTACAGAACAAGTGAACCCTAATTGGTTTTTGTGTAAGGCATGGATTTGAATAGCTGCATGCACAAATTTCAAGAATGAGCTCCAAGCACTGAAGGGAAAACCTTCTAAATATAGACACATATAACACCTATCAGAGAATGTTATAAAACTGAAATATTCACTTCCAAAGTTGCTCAGTGCGACCTAATGAAAGAGAGGAAAACTTTCAAGACATTTAATCCTTAAATCACTCAACAAATGGGAAAACTGCCATGACATTTTGATCATTACATCAGTCAACAAGTGGGTTGACATACTCTCATATGCAGTGAGTTAAAGCATATATGATAGTTGCATTTCAACCCACATGGTTATATTTTTACATTAAGCAATGGAACCAATATTGAACAGAGATTGAATTTAGCTCTTGCATGTAAGTTATAGTAACTTGATCATAGCTATTTTTCTATTCTTTGGGGTATTTGCTTGCTTGTTAGTTATGGCAACTTTAATTTTTCTTTCTTCCCTCATGGATTTTTTTCTTCTTGTTCACTTTATGTATATTATAGATGTTTAGGTCTACTAGCAAATCCTTTCTAGGTTGACCATATGAAGTATTTTCTCCTATCTCCACAAGAGTCCCCTACACCTAATAATAGGTACCCTAGGAGGGCTTTCTCTATGGTATCGTAGCCTCTAGTTAGTTTTTTACATGGATCTTGCTTTCTAATCTTTAAGTTTTTTAGACCTGGGTGACCAGGGTTCAAATCTTGGAAACAGCCTCTCTGTATATGCCGCAGAGGTAAGGCTGTGTACATCTGTCCCTCTCCAGACCCAACATTGGTTGGAGCCTTGTGCACTGGGCTGCCCTTTTAGACTATCATCACTATTCTGACCTGTGTCAACAGTCAAATGATTGAAGAGGTATTCAAAGATTCAGCCTCAACCTTCTCTTTACAAATTTGCATTATTAAAGGAAAAAAAATCTTCCAATTCCAAAAGTCCAATATTAAATATTACAAAAATGTCCCTTTAAAATCATGTTTCAAGTATGTCAGCACCCAATTTTTGGCAGGGTTTCTCTGGCTTTCTTGTTGGATAGTGTTTGCCCTCAAAATCCAATAGTTGTTGAATAACTTCTTTTATTATTTTTTTATTAAATGTGAAAAGAATGTAAAGTATGTACAGAGACAGTTTGTAAGAATATTTCCCAGCACTCCCAACCCATAGGCCCATCCCTGTTTAAAGCCTCTCTTTTGATTTTCTTTACATTACATTACCCTCTTGTTCATTGTTTATAGTCTCCCAAAACAATTGCTTGGGGACCACACAATTTGCCATTCTTCATGACCAGACCACTGTAGTATTCAGCTCCCTTGCTGTATTCCTTGTTTCCATTACCATGTATGTGCCTTTGTTTCCATTGAACCGGACAGTTTTCAGTTAGCCACTTAATGGTTGTCCTTGAATCACTTTCTACTATAAAATTTTTGTACCTAAGTGACTTGCCCAACTTTAGTCCCTGAAGTACTGCGATTTATTCAGATTCTATTGAATTCTTTTGCCTGATTAGTCCTGAATAATAGTAGTCACCCCTCCATGGTTTCTGAAAACTCTTCCAATGCCTAAAATTCCAGGATCGCATAGACTACAGCCATCAAAGTTTAATTTCAAGAGATTCCTTGGTGGTGGACACCATTCTGCCCTCAAGAGATTTCTTACTGAAGATTATGTAGCCACCATCTCCCAACCCCTTATGATATATTAATCTGTAAAGTCTTTGATAATTGAGTAGAAAACTGCTGAATTAGAAAATCTGTAAAAGAAAGGATATTTCTTGAAGAAGAGAAGTGGTTTGAGAAAGAAAAGAGAGCAATCTGGCCGCCATCTTCACTGGTATTTATATTTTAAAAATAAATAAGGGTACAAAGACCAATGTGCCCTTATAGAGTGGCTAACACCTAAATCTGCATAAAACACTTAAAAGAACAACTGAAAAAGGACCCAACAAGGATGTTGTGGTCCCCACTTCCTATCTAAACAATAAATAAACAAAAACTACTACTAAAACTGCACAAATTTATCTAAAACCTCAACACTCCCCCTCAAGTTGGGAGTAAATGTCACACACTCACAACTTGCATAGATCATGTTCAAGCTTGTTCTTTGCAACCCCTTTGGTGAAGACATCAGCCAACTATAATTCACAGGAGACATAAGGCAAGCAAAGTTCTCCAATTGTCACCCTCTCTCTGATGAAGTGCCTATCAACCTCAATGTGTTTTGTCCTATCATGCTGAATTGGATTGTGGGCAATATTTATTGCAGCTTGGTTGTCACAATATAACATCATGGGTTCCTCAGTTTTTATCCCAATCTCACTCAGTAAGGATCTAACCTAAAGAATTCCTCATCATGGGTTCCTCATCTAAACAACCTACCCAATCTGCATCTGTATAGGACTCCAGTTTCAAATTTTCATGGTCTGAGAAAAGAATTCCTCTACCAGGATGCTTCTTCAGGTATGCAAGTATCCTCTCAATGGCTTCCCAATGTTGAACACAAGGAGCATGCATGTACTAACTCACAACACTAACAGCATAGGAAATACCTGAACGTGTCATACATAAATATTATAGCCGGCCTACCATCCTCTGATCCCCACATCCTTAACCAACTCACCATCCTCATCATTAATTTTATGATTTGGGTCAATAGGAGTATCAGCTGGTTTAGTTCCTAACTTCCCAGTTTCTTGCAGTAAGTCCAACACATACTTCCTCTAAGAGATGAAAATCCCATGCTTGGATCTTGCAACCTCAATCCCCAGAAAATATTTTAGCTCACCTAGATCCTTGATCTCAAACTCTTGTTGTAGTGACTTCTTAAGTGCATCAATCTCCTTTAGATCATTTCCTGTAACAACTATATCATCCACATACACAATCATAAATGACACTAGTGCATCTCTCCTTTTTACAAAGAAAGTGTGATCGGATTGAGTCTGTGTGTACCCAAAACGGATAAGTGCCCCTTTGAACTTGTCAAACCATGCCCTAGGTGATTGTTTTAAGCCATATAATGATTTTTTCAGTCTACAAACTTTTCCCTTACCAACATTTTCATAAAAACCAGTTGAAATGTCCATATATACCTCCTCTTGCAAATCACCATTAAGGAATGCATTTTTAACATCAAGCTGCAATAGGGGCCATGAATAAGTAGCTGCTAGAGACAAGAGAATTCGAATTGAACTCATCTTAGCAACTAGTGCAAAGGTCACCAGGTAATCAATACCATAGGTCTGTGTATACCCTTTTAAAACCAACCTTGCCTTGTACCTCTCTATACTGCCATCAACCCTGTACTTCACAAGGAACACCCATCTACCGACTGTCTCTTTGTCTATAGGAAGATCAATTATTTCCCATGTCCGGTTCTTAACCAAACCTTCCATTTCATTTTGCATAGCTATTTTCCACTCAGGTTGGAGCTTCACTGACATTCCTGGGTATAGACACAAAATCTAGGGAAGAAAGGAAAGCATGGTAGGAAGATAACAAGGCATTGTAGGAAAGATGTTGTGAAATGCAATGGGTTGTACACTTTCTTTTTCCTTTGCAGAGTGCAATGGGAAGATCAAGGTCAATGGGATCGACTACTACAACAGTGTTAGGTACAGAAACATCATCGTCAGGGAAACTAATAGGCTCATGCTCAAAGGGAATACCTGGAACTATATCGACCGAACCTGGAATCCCAGATGGATTGACAGAGAGTGGTGCAGGTTCTTCTATTTGAGCATGTATGGAGTCAACCCTCTTTTGGTGGTGCTGATAGAACTGTGGGGCTGGCTGTAGTGGATCAGGCAGAGGGACTGGCGGAGCCATTGATGGTGAAACTGATGGAGAAAGAGGAACAAATGAAACAAGAAGAGGAATAGATTGTGAGCACTCCTCCCCAAGACACTCCCCCTAAGGAGAACCACCCGAGAAAAAGAATGTAGACTCAAAAAAAGTAACATCCATAGTGACAAACATGCTCCCCAACACTGGATCATAACAACAATACCCCTTTTGGTTTTGAGCATACCCAAAGAAAACACATTTCGTGGCCTTAGGGTCCATTTTCTTACGGTGAGGATTAAGAATGTGAACAAAGGAAACACACTTAAAAAAACTCTGAAAGGTATATGAAATATCTCCCCATCTAGAAAAAAAAAAGGCTGAATGGCACCTTAAACCCCAAAGTGCGTAAACGGACATGGTTAATCAAATGCACAGTTGTGAGAACTGCATCCCCCCAAAAATGAATAGGAACTGAAGCACACACCATAAGACTTCTTGCCACCTCCACAATGTGTTTATTTTTCCTCTCTACTACCCCATTCTGTTGTGGTGTATATGCACGACTACTCTGATGAATCACACCATGCTCCAAAAAATATGTGGCCAAATCCTTCTCAAAATATTCTCTAGCATTGTCTGATATGAAGACCTTAGTCCTCACTCCAAATTGTGTGAGAACCATCTGGTAGAACTGTCGCACCAAAATAAGTACCTCATCACATGATCTCATCAAATATATCCAAAAATGCCATGTGTGATCATCCACAAACAAAGGAAAATAATGGTAACCACCCATGGAAGAAATATGATAAGGTCCCCATACATCGGTGTGAACAATATCAAAAGCAAAAGAACTTCTTTTATTACTTGGTTTAAAAGAATGTCTACAATGCTTTCCCAACTGACAACTTTCACACTCCAAACTAGATAACTAAACAGACTCAAACAACTTTGGAAACAAAAATCTTAATGAATTGAAAGAAAGATGACCCAAACGATTATGCCAGAGTATAATCTGACTTACTATCTCTGATCCACTACTATTGCTGCTACTAACATGATGGCTCTGATGTCTCGGAATCTCATCCAAAAGGTAGACTCCATTCACCTCACAGCCACTCCCAATCGTCCTCTTTGATTCCAGATCTTGCAAAACACAACTACCAAGAAGGGAAGTCATTGAACAGTTCAAATTTCTTGTCAAAGAACTCACAGAAAGAAGATTA